TATTAAATGAAAATTACATTAAATAAATACTAGACAAGAAGTAATAGAAGGGGTCATTATGAAGTAGAGACATGCACGATTGCCATCTTCAGTAAACAGGGTATGCAGTTCAACTGAATCTTTGCATAATGCAGTCAGCATACTAGATATAACTGAAGTGGCTTATTAAAATTTGTCCAAAAAAAGTAATGTTAGTTGAAGCAGAATACTCATGTTTTTCCTCTTGAGTATGTTAGTAGTCTCACACAAAATCCTTTGATTGAAAATATGATCTCTGGTACTGTTGCTCTATCATTTTCCTAGAATTGATTTGTCATCAGGGAGATTGTTTTGTCAAGGTAATATATCACTGGTGCCAGTGTTTGTACCTTATGGTAAGCAATTAAGAAATCTAAGGCAAAACAAAACAATGTACTCTTCCTACTTATCTATGTGCTTCTCAGCAAAACTTTTCAAATGAAGTTATCTTGCCTTGGGGACAATACTATTCAATATCTTTGTCAGCATGGACAGCTGGATTGAGTGCACCCACAGTAAAGTCACTGACGACACCAAGCTGTGTGGTGCAGTTGACAGACTGGAGGGAAGGGATACTATCCAGAGAGACCTTGACAAGCTTGAGAGGTGGTCTAATGACAACCTCATGGAGTTCAACAAAGCCAAGTGCAAGGTCCTACATTTGGGTCATGGCAATCTCGGGCACACCTACTGGTTGGGTGGGGAGTTAATTGAGAGCAGCAATGAGGAGAAAGACTTGGGCATGGTGGTGGATGAGAACCTGAACATGAGCCAGCAGCATGCACATACAGCCCAGAAAGCCAATGGTATCCTGGGCTGCATCAAAAGGAGTGTTGCCAGCAGATTGAGGGAGGTGATTCTTCCCCTCTACTCTGCTCTCATTAGTCCCCACCTGGATTGTTTTGGTATTGTTCTGGTGCCCTCAATGTAAGAAGGACATGGAACTGTTGGAGCAAGTCCAGAGGAGGGCCGTGAAGTTGATAAGAGGGCTGAAACATCTCCCCTATGAAGACAGGCTGAGGAAGTTGGGGCTGTTAAGCCTGGAGAAGAGAAAGCTGTGTGGAGCCCTCAGAGCACCTTCCCGTATCTGAAGGGGCCCACAGAGAAGCTGGAGAGGGACTCTTTGTTAGGAACTGCAGTGATAGGACAAAGGATAATGGGTATAAGTTGAAGGATGGGCAATTTAGATTAGATATCAGGAAAAAGATTCTTACTGTGAGGGTGGTGAGACACTGGAACGGGTTGCACAGGGAGGTAGTGGATGCCCAACCCTGGCAGTGTCCAAAGCTAGGTTGGATAAAGCCTCAAGCAACCTGGTGTCACTAGGCAGGAAGTGTCCCTGCCCATGGCAGGGGTGGGTAGGACTAGATGATCTATAAGGTCCATTCTAACCCCTTAACAATCTATGAATCTTAGGATGAAGATCTTTGAGGTGTATTTTGCAAGAAAGTGCATGCTCTGACTTCTGTACTCTACTGAAAGGACTTAGAAGAGTTATGGAGTTGGACTCTGGGCTGTTTGCTTATGCCTGTTTTAGTACTCAGTTCCTGGGTGTTTAGCTGTTTTGCAGGAATCTTTCTTTGGCTTTTGTTTGCCAAATTAGAGAAGTCATATGCTGCAGGCAGTAGTGAATATGCACACACCCTGAAGAAATTAAGTAATATGCTGCTTTCAGAGTGAGCAATTTTAATGCATATTTTTTTCTATATGTCCCAACATTTCCATAGAAAAATCAAAGTAAAAGTTTCTTGCTATCATGCCTGTACATAATTTTGTGTTTGGGCTCAGGAAGATCGGAATTTGATTTTACTTGAGTTCTGTGGTAGGCTAGCTTATGTTTTACTAGGGCAGTTTGTGAAGAAGCATGATGTACTTAAAATTCATGGAAAGTTTGAGAAGGAAAGATGAAAACTGACAGCATTATACTGAATTTTACTAAGTTGTATTAGTACATTTAGGCAAAATAGCTACTAAGTATGTTACTAGACTCTGTCATTTGATATGCTGTCAGTTGTAGATAGCTCTGTTAAAGTCAGTGGAGCTGTGCCAGGCAAAATTGTGTTCATCTGAGATGGGCATCAGGCAAGTATACTTTTTTTCTGCAGTTTTACCAGCTAAATTTGCCTCTTAATTTTGTACATGGATGTGACAGAAATTAAAATTAGGAGCCTCTCATTGTTTCCCACTAGAAATCATTCTCTATCTTAGTTTCTAAACTGAATTAATTATCTGTTAAAAACTGCCAAGTCACATCATTTAAATGTCTTTAAATTTAAAAGAAGTTAACGTTCAAAGGGGAAAATAAAAGCAACCTAAACTTTTAAGCCCTGTTCTTTATGACAAGATCCAGAAAAATGAAAGAAAGAAAAAAATCTCTGGTTCTGATTCTGAGAAAAATCTTTACTAAATGATACTATTGTATCAATTTAAGACTGATGTATCTGGTTTTGTTCTTGTTTCTTCTGACATTGGAAATGTTTTTGAAGGAGGGTAAGGAAACCTGTTCAGTTTAGCCCAAATTAGTCTAAAAGCTTGTCAAGGTTCCCCAGTGTGCTAGGGAGATTAAATAGAAGTATTTAGTTGTACAAAGTATCTGCAGAACAGATGAGTCATGATGCATTTTTTAAATTAGGTTAGAAATAGAAGAGTAATATTCTAATGCTGGCCTGTGGTATGTCAAGCCTTAAAGAATAACTGAAGATGTTGTGACAGAAATTAGGAAAGGGAAATAAGGACAGACACTTGACTTTTTTTTTCCAAAAAGTAGTGTGTTTGCAAATTATAAGGTGTAGGTTAAGCAATAGTCTAAGAAATATTGGAAGATAGCTTTATTTCACGTTATTTGGCAGTTCAGATTTAATTTTGATCGGATTTATATTTGCTTATTTACTTCAAAATTGGACAAAGAGGGTTCTGACTGTTGATATAATTCAAAGACAGTTTAGTGTGTAGAAGCCTAAGGTCATCAAAGCATTTTCAAAGGGAATGTGAAAGAGAGATGTATGTCAAAGTGAAGACAGAAGGCCACTGCACATGTGGAACATGAAGGAAGGGAGATGGAAAAAAGACAGTAAAACAGAGTAATACGAAATAAATTTATCACATGCTGAAGTTGAGATTTTTGTTACTGGAAAGATTTAGAAGCTATTTACCATCAAAACCTTAATTGATGCTGTGGCTCAAAGAAAGACCTTCTAAGTTGAGATACATTTTAAAAAAGCATCTTGCATTTAGAAGATGAATATACATACTGCAATATTTATTTATTTATTTTTCTTACTGTGGGACTCACTTGGTAAATAAATGAGAACTGTTTGAAGTAAGAAAAAGTATGTTATGTTCTCTATTACTCTGCAATGTTTGACACCTTTGATACTCTTATTTAGTCTTGCTGATTTGTTTTAATAATGGTATTTGTTTCCCTAGGTAGACATTTGATAGGCATCTGTGTTTATAATTCTGCTATATTTTAATGCCTGTTTCACTAAAGATTTTATCTGCTTATTCCTCTCTGAGCTGTACAACTATACCATAGTTAAATGAACAAGCCCTTCTGCATTTAATGAAAATTGCTTTTACTACATGATACATGTGGCTTTTCCATAGTCTTACTTTAGTGCTATGTCACTGAAACACAGTTAAAAAGTCTAACCACGACCCCCGTAATTTGATTTTTGCTGTACTGTTAAAAATATGTGTTAAAGGATTATAAATGAACACTGTCATATCAAATTTGCACCAAATTAATTTTTTTACTCTAGGTATCATAAAACTGGGCTTCTTCTAGAAATAAATTTGAGGGAATTCAGTGTTACAGAGGAGCTTCCAGTAAAACAAAATAGCTGGAATAAAAGATCACTCTAAACAGTTTCATGAGCAAGGAAATTTTATGTGCCCAAATTAATACATATTAATTGCATTGAAATATCATTTGAAAGCACAAAGTGAATGGAATGTCTTAAAATGATGAGATACTAATGAGCTTCTAAATATTGAGTGGCTTATCTCAATTATTTATTAATTTGTGTTGGTTATACTTTAGCAGCATCAGCTGGTATTTCTGTACATAGCTATAATTTAATTTTATAATTCACTCTCATCAATGGACATTCCTTCTGATACAAACTGTACATTTAACTGTTTTTTTTTAATGTAATGCACTGTTATGCAGTCTAAAAACTGTCATGGACAAAGGAAATAAAAAATTATTTTTTTTCATGGTATCATATTTTACGAACTGTCATGGACAAAGGAAATAAAAAAATTATTTTTTTTCATGGTACCATATTTTACACTTTATATTTAATTTTGTTGTTATTAAGAATTATAAAATGTTGTAATCTAGTTTCAGTAGTGGATTTGGCTTTTCCCCCACCATTCAGAAAACAAATTTGCTTAGTTCCAAAAATTAAAATCGTAAATTAGGAAAATTCTCTGAATTTCTAAAAGTTTCTGTAGCTTCTTAATGTTCCAAAGTTGTAGCAGCTGTGTAAAGTATTAACATTAGTACTTTCCTGAAGTTACAGTAGAAATGCATTTCTTTTGTGGTGTCTTACGTAAGTTTTAGATAGAAATTCTTTTCATCAAAACACTTGGCAAAATGCAACTAGAATAATATGTCTTAAAATGAAACTTTTCCATTTTGTTTTAAAATTGTACATAGACTAAGATGGATGCCAGTTTTTATCTCTGCTGGCCTTGTCATTAAAAAGAAAATAAAAGGAAAAAAAAAACCATTAGTAGCAGACTGACATGATTTGCCAAAATACAAGAGTCCACTTCCTTACCTAAGAAGATTAGAGAACTGTAAATTGCATATTGGGTAGTTATTTTAAATACTGAATTGGGTGTACAAAACCTTTCCCATTACTGTGGGGTACATTTTATGTAAAATCATCCAGAGAGATGTCACTATGATTGCAAAGCTGGTCTAAAGTCTGAATGAATGTTGCACTCCTTGTCCTTGCTTTTGTGTGGTCATAATGGCAGTGATTGCACTGACAGAGGTTGTTATTTCATGCCAGGACTTTGATCTGAAGTTTGAAATGGGCTTTACAGCTCCTATCAAGAGGTGAAATGATACTGTAAAAAACCACTCAAGATATTTCCAACTATGTTGCGATTGCAAAAATCTTGGAAATAGTCTATGAAGGCTGTGGGAAGTTTTATATTGATGTACTCATAGACACAATTAATTTCAGAAAACATTAAAATCCATACTATTTTTTGCTCACTCCTACTAATTCTGTGACTATTCAAAGAATAATCATCCCAGTAGAACCACTTCAATGCATTAGGAGCATTTCAAATGAACCAGAAATAAGTGACAATAGTAAATAAATAAATGATGTAAACTTGTGACAAAAGTAGTTATTTAAACAGCAGTAAATTTTTTGGAATTGAAGTTACAAGGGGTTCATTCTGTGGTAAAAGTGTCATGTAAAGTGTTGGCTTGAGTGTTGATTGCAACAAAGGTTTAAGGATGCTGTGAAAAACTTGTCAAAATTTTGCCTCATCTGTGTAAAGTTACCCTAGTGTAATTGCATTACTTCTCTTGTCCCTCCTGCTCATTCAAGGAGTTTCAAAGTGCACATAAATATTAGAGAATCATAGAATCATTTATTTTAGAAATGACCTTCAAGATCCAACTATTAACCCAGTACTGCCAAGTCTGCCACTAAACCATGTCCCTGTGTGCCCCATCTGCATGTCTTCTAAATACATCCAGGGATGGTGACTCAACCACTTCCCCGGGCAACCTGTTCCAATGCTTGACAACCTTTCAGTGAAATGTTTTACCTAATATCAAATCCAAACCTCCCCTGGTGCAACTTGAGGCCATTTGCTCTTGTCCTGTCACATACTTGGGTGAAGAGGCCAACCCTCACTCTTCTCAGGTGGTTGTAAAGAGGGATAAGGTCCCCCCTGAGCCTCCTTTTCTCCAGACTAAACACCCTCAGCTCTCTCAGCCACTCTTTATAAGACTTGTGTTCTGGACCCATCCCCACCTTTGTTCCCCTTCTTGGGACTTCTTCCAGCACCTCAATATCGTTCTTGAACTAAGGATCCCAGAAATGGATAAAGTACTTGAGGTGTGGCCTCACCAGTGCCGAATACAGTGGGGCAGTTGCTTCCCTAGTCCTGCTGGCCACAGTATTTCTAATTCAAGCTAGGATGTCATTTGCCTTCTTAGCCACCTCAGCACACTGCCAGCTCATGTTCAGCTGCTGTTGACTGACCAGCCCCTCCAGGTCCTTTCCAATGAACAGCTTTTCAGCCCCTCTTTCCCAAGCCTGTAGTGTGGCATGGAGTTGTTGTACCTGAAGTGCAGGACCCTGCACTTGGCCTTGTTCAGCCTCATACAATTGGCCTCGAACCATCAATTCAGCCTGTCCAGATTCTTCTGCAGAGTCTTCCTACCCTCCAGCAGATCAGCACTGCAAACTTACTAAGGGTTCGCTTGATCCCGTTATCCAGATCATCACTAAAGACATTAAACAGGACTGGCCCCAATGCTGAGACCTGGGGGACACCACTAGGAACTGGCCACCAGCTGGATTTAACTCCATTTACCATACGCTTCAGGCTTGGTCATCCAGCCAGTTTTTTATCCAGCTCATCCAAGCCATGAGCAGCCAGGTTCTCCAAAAAATGCTATGAGAAATTATGTCAACAGCTTTACTAAAGTGCAGGTAGACAACATGCACAGCCTTTCCCTCTTCACCAAATGGGTCACCTTGTCGTAGAAGGAGATCGAGTTTATCATGCAGGACCTGTCTTTCATAAACCTGAGCTGGCTGGACCTGATTTCCTGATTGTCCTGCATGTGCTGTGTGATGGCAGCCAAGATGATCTGCCCCATAACCTTCTCCAGCACCAAGGTCAGGTTGACATGCTTATTCTCCCTGTATTCTCCTTCCACACCTTCTTGTGCATGGGCATCACATTTGCTAACCTCTAGTCAACTGGGACGTTTCTGGTTAACCAGGACTTCTGATAAATGATGAAAAGTGGCTTGGTCAGCACTTCACCGCTTCCCTCCGTACCCTTGAGTAGATTCCATGTGGCCCCATAGACTTGTGTCTAAATGGTGCATTAGTTTGATGACCATTTCCCCTTGGATGATGAGGGCTTTGTTCTACTCCCCATCACAGTCTTCCAGCTCAGGGGGTTGGGTACCCAGAAAAAACTGGTCTTGCTATTAAAGACTGAGGCAAAGCAGGTATTAAGTACCTCAATCTTCTCCTCATCCTTCATCACTATGTTTCCCTCCACATCCAATAAAAGATGGAGACTCTCCTTAGCCCTCCTTTTGTTGCTAATGTATTTCTAGAAACACTTTTATTGCCTGTTATGTCAGTAGTCAGGTTAAATTCTAGTTGGGCTTTGGCCCTTCTAATTTTCTCCCTGCATAACCTCAGGACATTCTTGAACCCCTCCTGAGCTGCCTGTGCCTTCTTCCAAAGGTGCTTATTCCTGACCCCCAGTTAAAGTTATCTATTCAGAAAGTCTGATCTTCCCTGCTGGCTTGTCTTTCAGCATATGGAGACAGCCTGCTTCTGTGCCTTTAAAATTTCCTTCTTGAAACATGTCCAGCCATCCTGGACTCTTTTGCACTTCTGGACTGCCTCTTAAGGAACTTTCTCAAGTGTCCTAAACAGGCCAAAGTCTGCCCTCTGGGAGTCCAAGGCAGCAGATCTGCTGATCCTGCTCCTTAGTTCTCCAAGAATCAAGAGCTATCATTTTGTCATTGCTTTGCCCAAGTCAGCCTCCAATCATCACATCACCCACCAGTCCTTCTCTGTTCAGAAAAACAGGCCCAGTGGGGTGGCTTCCCTACTTGGCTCATTCATCAGCTGTGCGCTTCCCTTGTTGGACTATTGATTCTACCACATTTTTAGAGGGAAGAGCCTATTGCCTTTGGAGTTGCATTATTGCTGTAATTTTTATCCAGTTATATTACATATTTCCTATCATGGCTAGTATGTTGTTCCACTGATCTTATCCCAGTTTCTCCTGCTTTTTTTTGTGGTATAAATGTGTGAACCATGCTTACATGGAACAAGAATAAAAACATTTTTAACAGACTGTTGTCTTCTTCAATGGTGAAACCTTTGCTGCCCTAAAGGGGGTGAAATCCCATAGGACATGCCAAGGGATTTTGCTGATGCTGGAGACCCCAGTACACTACTGTTTGGAACTCTGAGAACTATAGCACTTCTAGTCTCACAAAAATTGATGCAAAGACAAGTTTCCTAATTTTTTCTTGGCTTCTTCTCTGCAGCAGACTGAATAGTGCAATGGTAAACATTAGTAGACATTTTTTTCTCTCAGCTCAAATGTGAGCTACTGATGAAAACAAAAATATCCAAACTGAAGAATATCACCAGAATTTAATTTGGAAAATTTAAAATTTTCTTTAAAATCTTGTATAATTCAACCTGTGGAAAAAACAAAATAATTTTTTTAGTGACATGCCTTTCTGACAATTATCGTTTAAAACAAAAAGGAAAGGACATTGTGTTTGTCCTTGAAATGGATAACTTAAAAATTGAAATATAGGGATGGTCTCTGAAATGAGAAAAGCTTTAAGGATATGACTAGCAGAAATAGCAGTTCTGGAATTAGGTAAACAAAAGTCCCAAATCAGAATTGTGGTCCACTGTGCTAAGTGTTTTGCAAACAAGATGAATATGTATTATGCATTAGCTAATTTGTCAGATCTTGTATATTTTTGTAAGGGACAATGGCACAAGAGTAGAGCTGTTTAGCTGCAATCTTAGCTGCCCTTATCTAACAATCGTGAAAAGTACCAAATGACTGTGGAAAGGAAAAGCTCTCTATCCTAGTTAAGAGTCTCTGCGAAAAGCTCTCTATCCTAGTTAAGAGTCCAACTAAATTCCATTAGCTTCACTGAATTTCTGCAGCTTTTACAGGAACCTAACCTGGAATTAAGAGTTCAAGCTTCAGTGTTGGTGCAGGGTTGTTCACTCTGCTTCTGCTGTACTTCCTGTGGTTTCTTTTGGTAGGGTGCATAGTGACTCAGTGTGTAGTCTACCTTATTTTGAGAAAAATCCTTTGCTCTCAATAATGCCATATGGAAAATGATCCTGTTCGGTTCTCAGATTGCATCTACTGTTTCTGTAGCTAAAGCTAGCTATATTTGTAAAGTATGAGCTACTGTCTGCCTTCCTATATGTTAATATTTGGCTTCTTTTCCCTCTGCCTGCTCTTATAAATCAATTTTATTTGAACTGTAACAGAAATGTCTCATAACTTTGATGTTGTTGCAAATAGCCTTTGAGAAACGATATTAATGTAATTTCCTATAGCACTGAAGCCACTTAAAATATAAAGCTATTGTTCATTGAGGGGAATTTTGCTGTATACATTCATGCATCTATAAACAGGAGAGGGCATGCTGTACTTAACTTGTTTGACCTGTAATGTATACAAGGAATGGAAAATTTGGCTGCATGTGTAATGACCTGGTAGCCCAGGTAATTTCCTTTATGCCTTAAATTAGGTAACTGACATTCATAATGCATAGAAACTTGCTTGTTCAGCAGTCTAGCATTATATTTGCAGAGCTACTGCTATACTAACTGGTATTAGATTCATGTTCAGTGATTTATTTGACCTGGAAAGCCAACAAATTTCTGCTTTTCTAAAAGGATGTTTTTGGGGGCTCCAAATAAACAAATGATCTACGTTCTAGTTTCCCACTTTGTTTCAGTTCTGATGAACACGTGATCATTTGCAATATATGTGTGTATATATATGTATATATGGTGGGACATTATGTATATATAGTATATACATCATATATTGGGACATGATTTTCACTTTGGTCTGTGACTACAACATTGGACTGTGGCTTCAACAACCTATTTTAGAAACCTCACAAATAAATCACTCATAATACTTGTGGAAATTATTGCCTTCCTTAGAGAATAGTATATCTATAAAGTACCAGTTTGTATAGAGTAAGCTTTGGATCTGTCCCACTGTTAAATAAAGCATAATATAATAAGCTAGAATTTGCAATGGCTGCCTGACACACACAAGGGTATATTAATTAACCTGCATGCAGAAATTAACCCTTAGAGTACTGCTTCAAATTCCTCAATTTATTTTGTTATTTAATTTTACCAGTGGGCTATGCTGCTTTTCTACTCAGTTCATAGTACTGTACATAAAGTACATTAAATAGCCATAAAAAAAAAAAAAAAAAAACCAAAAAGAAACCCAACCTGAGAAAAAGAAAAAAAACCCAGCAAACTTCCTATAAACAAGGGATTCTACAAGATTAAGTACTCCAGGTTGCTAATGGGTAATGTATTCCTAAGCAACTACTTCTCTGTTAAAGGTGTTATATTGTGACATGATTTAAAAGCATGTAATGTTTCACTGTAGCTGTGTGCTTGTTAGGTTTCTTCATAGGTGTGTCTCCTATAGAAAGAAGTCAGTTCTTTAAGGGTTAATGTGGGGTTAAGGAATCCTGAGGTATACTCCTGCTTGTCCTTTCCTAAAGGTATCTGCATGTTAATTCTCAGATATTACCTGAACAGGTCAATATAAACACTGTATGAATGACTAACTGAATGAATGAAATAATTCCTTTGAAATGCTTGCTTGTATCTTGTAAATGACTGGAAAACAGAAATGTGGTTTCTGAATCAAGGTCTTTAATGAAATGCATAAAGAACTCAGCAGAGTAGAAACTCTTGTGCTGACAATTTATTCTGATTTCTTTTTTTTTTTTCAAATAGCCCAATAGAATCCTGCCAGAATTTCTACAAAGATTTCACATTACAGATCGACATGGCTTTCAATGTGTTCTTCCTACTCTACTTCGGCTTGCGTGTAAGTAGTGTGTCTTTGATAGCATGAGGCAGGGAGGGAATATAGCTCTTAGATAGAGAGAGACTTTGAATACAGCTTGGCTTTGCAATGGCTGGACACAATTAAGCTAATTTCTAAAATGCATGAGCAAACCTTTTGATTGAGAACATTTAGGTAATAACAATTAGAATCTAAGGTCACTAAGGAGACTGGTAGTCTATAAGGTAAGCCATCTGTTCCAGAATGCTCTTATGTGGTAGAAGGTGCAAATTGTGGTTCAATGCTGGTCAGTGATGTCAGATCTAGTTTCAGTGTTGTCAAATGGTGTGATAACTCCCTGAGCAAGACTAGTGAACAGTTGATCTACTCCTCTGCTGTTAGATATATCTTTGGCAGTCAAAGGTTGAGATAAAAGCTGGTAGAGCTGCTGAATTCAGTTTTATACACATTCACTTTCCCAGACTGCTAATGAATGCTTTGCAGAAGCTATAAATACTAGTCAATATGCTGAAATGCATATCCTTAGACTGTCACTTTCTGAAAATCCAGTAAGGCTGTTTCAGGATCTAAAAGCTGGGACATCTGAAACAAGTAGGCCCTTAAAAAACCTTGGCCAGTAATGCTTACAGTTCAAGCTGTTCTGTTGGCTGGTTGGTTGGTTGGTTGGCTGTGGGTTTGGTTGGGTTTTTTTAATACACTTTGAAAATAAAGTTTGCTTGTTAATTGGAAAATCAGAGGAAAAAGACCTCGAACTTAACAGAACTACAAGCAAAACCTCATGCGAGCAGTAACCCTGCCACATCAGTTTTTAAATTAGAGCAAATATTGCTTCCTGATCTTACTTTGTCCATTTTGCTCCTGAATCACAGGAGCTCCTATGTCACAATGATCACTGAGTTCCTTCTATTTCACTTCTGACTAACTTAACCAACTTTTTCTGAAGATACTATAAGCAATTTTGTTGCAAATCTAGATTATTTAATCACCTAATCTATCCTTTAGCTAAATAGATAAATTCCTTCAGTATTTACGCTAAAATGTATGCAATCTAAGCTGTATTTTAAAATCATATGGTGTAAGAGCCCCTAATTCTTAAGGACCTTAAGGGGGGCTTTTGCAGATGTCCATCAGGCCTGCAAGAAAGGTTAAATTTTAACATAACAGATTCAGTGCATGGTACTTGTGAACTTCCAAGAGTCCTTTTTCAGAAGTATACAAATCCTTGGCAAATTTTGTGCTGGTGATAAGGTTTTATCTTCTTATCAAAAGAATTAAAATTACATATTGGCCACCCTTATTTACTCAAAGCAATAACTTAGGTTACGGTATGAAGAAGCAGAGCACAATAAGAGAGAAGATACTGAGAGCTGATGCTAATACTTTCATGTTTTCAGTGTTTTTTGGAAGAGAGAGACAGTTCTGCACACTCCACTCTGGTCCTGTGGTCTGAAAGCACTTTGGGAGTTACAGTAGATGAGATACACAGCCAGAATTAGTTTTAGTTTCAGGCAAAATAATTTTTGTTATCCAAAGCTTTGCTTGGTGATGCAGACTGAGGGTATGGTAAGTGAGAATGATAAGGATTCACTTCAGATTGATATTCCTTATCTAAGTTAAAATGCTAACATAGGTGTAACTTCACTGTGCTGAACTAAACAGGAGTTCCTGAGGAAAAGGTGATACTTGGTTGTGTGGATGCAAGAATTGGAGAAAATATGAATTTCCTAGTTATGTAATAAGCATCTTATACCTTTAGGCATTTTAGTGTTTTGGAGGTTTTTTTCCTCTCTGATAAATATCTCCTGTGAGGACTCACTGACAAATTAAAGATTTTGAAGAAATCTTTTAAAAACTCATTCTTCTCCATCTGTTCTCCCTGAAATGATGCTGCAACTCAAAATCATACAAATATTACCATATCTTCAGTTATAGAAGATATTTGTGTTCAAACAGACATACATCTGTTTGAAAATCTTTGTTGGCTAGTATCCGACTGTGAGAACTCAGAACTGAATTCTGAGAATGCTGATGAAGACTAATCCAAATTACACGAGTTAGCACATAATCAAGCAATAAGGTCTGGCAGAGATATGGAAAGTATAGTAGTAATCCTTCTTTGGAGGTGATAGAATTATGCTATTGCTTTTAAAAAAATAATATGTCTTGGTAATATCTCATGGTAGAATTGTTCTGTAATGAAATGGGCTTTTACTATTTGCTAAATGAGGAACTGTTTCAATACTTAGAAAAGCACGAGTGGCCTTTACAGTCAAAATACTTTGTTTTCATTATTGAATAATACACTTCAACCTGTTTGAAAGCCTAAAGGTTGTGCCCTGTGGAAAGATAAAATGCACATTGGAACATATATTGTATGTTATGGAAATACCGATCTGACATATTTGAAAGCTTTTAGTTCCAAGTATTCTGACTACTTCTAAATTCAACAGGAAGAAATAGAAATACTTTGCTGAAGCAGGATTTTGTGTTCACTTTTCATGCTGGAGCATTGAGATTGAGTAATACAGACAAATTTACTTCTGGTTTTGAGTATTCTCTGAAACAAATGTTGTTGGTCTTATTTCAACTTGACATCAGTAGAGTCCCCTTTCCAATTATTTATCTGCGATTCCAGCAAAGTTGGTATGGACCATAAGCTTTTTCTGTCAACTTTTTACAGTATTTCTAAGGCAAGGAAATTAAGTGAATGAAATGGAGATTGTCTCTGTTTGCTTGGAAAGAAACACTATGAATATTGTCTTGAACTCAAAAAATACAAGCACTATTTTGAAATGTGTTAGTCTGGGTTTTAATACTTGTATGAGTAAAACTGCTCAGTTAGATATCTTCATGATGCACTAAAATTTTGCATTTATTTGTATGTTTATATTTCATTTTTATATAAAGAAAAAATTCTAATTATCCTTTAATTATTACTCAATTGTGAATAGAGGTTTAACCTTGTTTAAGCACATAGGCAAGTTCTAACTATGTTGCACTTGGCATCTAAATTTACCATTTTCCCTAGGCTCTTTTTGTAGTCAGGAGAGAGAAATGACTATATCCATGGCACAATACAAAGGACGGAAGTCCTGAACTATGCCCTGTAGGAGTCATCCTAGTGATCTCCTCTGGGCAGATGATAATGGAACTCTTTGTAAAATATCATGTATTTAGGAACCTGTAAGCTGAAAATAGATGATGAAACTCCTGCCAACATATTTGGTGTGCTAGAGCAAAGGTGATATACTTTGAAATATTTTATACTTGCCTATTGCTGATACATTGTTAATATATGTGCAAATATATTCTTTAGCACAGATGTTACAACTTGTCACAGAAATGATCTATCTCTTTAGTTAGACTTTTCATTTTAATCTCAATATGATTATCAAGCAATGCACAATACAGACTTCTTTCCTCTGACATGTTGTTTTGTCTGGACTGACCTAAAGCATCAGTTTTTACACTAACTTTAGTGTTTAATACTTTAGAACAGAAAGTATTTCACAAACTTGCAGTCACAATGAGCATAATCTGATTCTTTCATCTCTTCCCCTCTTTTTTTTTCCCTTTTTTTTCCCTCCTCAGTTTATAGCAGCCAATGACAAGCTATGGTTTTGGCTAGAAGTTAACTCCGTGGTAGATTTCTTCACAGTCCCTCCAGTGTTTGTGTCAGTATATTTAAACAGAAGTTGGCTTGGTAAGTAAAATACTTTTTTCTTTTAATAGCTGTTATAAAAGTACTTAAATTGTACACATTTTGAGGGAGAATTTCTTCATCTTGTGTCATTGCGTAAAGAGAAGAATGTTACCAAAGTTGGTTTTGCAGAGAATTTGCCATTTTGGCAGAAAGGTAGGTTTTGTCAGAAAAATAAATTAAATAATCTCCTACTCTTAAGTGGTGGTGAACTCCAGCTTGGAAACATGCTGTCATTTTTATAAAACAGTAAATTGGATGTAGTCATCTCAGTTTGCAACGTGAACGGGTGGTCCAGACCATTCATTCACTGAACTGGATTGACATGAATCATTGTCAACAAATCAACAAATTTTCATTGCATTTTTGAGATAATATGGATACATTTTACATCTGATGAAACAACTGGTTTGGGAGACATGTTTAGAAACTCACTAGGCTTAATATGTGTGTAGACCTTCTAGGAATATATTAGAAAAGGAATGCCAAGTGTAAAAGGGAATCAAATATGAAATAGAGAGGACAAATTGGTTGAAGAACATCTGTAATGTAGCTTATGAATTCTCTTGTACAAATTACATATTCTCTCATGTTAGGTAAAATTAAGGTCAAAATTTGGGACATTTTGTTCAGATAAAAGTTTCTTAAAATGGCATGCACTGTGAATGCCATGGCTTCAGAGAATATATGAAACCTCACAGTTTGACGATTAATTTCTTCAGAAATTCAGGCACTCATCCCTGGAAACTGAAGAGAGTCGTTATCTTAAATGTTTCACATGAGAAGGAAAATAAAACTGAGGAACTTTAATAGTTTTATAATATTTTCAACTTGATACAGAACTGTAAAGATACAAAAGTTACTGATGAATTCCTGTATTATGCAAAGAGATTAAGAAATGTATAACTACGATAGAGATCATACTATATACAGCAGTGCTTATCAGTATGCCAAAGAAGAAAGCAGTAAAACAGCCAGAAAACATCACTACACATCCTCATTTTATTGCTGTCTTTATCACAAACTTCTGTCATATATGGAAAACTAAGTAAGGCTTTTTGAAGGAGAAAATGCCATACAGTTTCATTTTATGACAGGAAATAAAATTTAAAAAGAAGGTATGTAAATTGAAAAAACAGCTTATACTTAGAAAAAAATTGCTGATTTCAGTAGCTGTAACTCAATCTCAGATTCTTTGCATTATGTGAATTAAAGGGAATCATTTTCACACTTAAATGTGACATAACAGAATTTCACAGACCTTTGAGATTTGAATCATTGGAGATAGTGACTATTTAAGAGTAAAAACTGGAATCACAGCATCCATTGAAAAGGAATATGAAAGGAGAAAATAGCGAAACCCACAAACTCTGGGAAACGAGGCAATGAGATCATTACTTGGGATGAATACCCTCTATGAAAGTGACTGCATAATTGACTGACTCATGGTGACACAGCAATCTGACTAACAGTACTGACAGGGATAATGAGAGAGTTTACCCATATAGCAGTTTCTGCTGGATAGTTTTTATAACATTTAAGTCATTTTGCAGGAAGAGTTAAGCATTTCACTTATATTTATTCTGAGGGTTAGAAGGATTTCCATCTCTCTTAATTACACCAATTTAACCTTTTCTTGATTTCTTGTTTATAGTCCCACTTTACCTGTTTTCTCATAGAATCCTCCTGAGACATCTCCTGCTGAGGCACAAAATTTAGGTGTTTGTTTTTTTAATGTAGTGAGCTTAGGAGTGACATATTTACAATGTTTTGGCTTTGCACCTGCTTCCAAAGGAGTTTTAATTTTAGAAAAATCATGCTCAGTAAAAGAATTCCCTAATTCAAAAATGTGTGTTGTTAGGATCCTTAACACAGCTGTAATTTAGATCAGCAAATTATTGTTTTGAGAAGCTGTGATGAAAGTATTTTTAAGTAAATACACTTAGGTGTACGAATGAAGATTGTGTATTCCTTTACACATTTTAAAGAGGTGGCAAAATTTGCTGTCTGTGGAGCTCAAATATTTTGGACATACTCGTAGGTAATACAGTGGTAGGATTGAGTGTGTGAGTAGAGGGAAAGGGAGGGTGTTTAGGCCATATTATTTACAATTTCAGGTTAGATACCTACTTTGCCTTTTCCTTCCCTTGCAGGTGATTCAGAAAATGTAAGTTCTGGCTTTTGCATCAGTTGTACTTGTGTGGAAATAATATTTGCAGGGAGATTTGTCTTGTAGTGAAGGAAGTGATAGGGGGTGCTTAATGATAGGCAATGTGAAAACAGATTTGGACTTCAGTATGTCCTGATAATTCTTGCACATTTTAATAATTAGTTATTGATTTAGCAGGTCTCTTTTATATGCTTTAAATTTCAAGATTGTTTAGGAACCTGACTATAATACATCATCTGGAATGTATTGTGCATCAGGGTCTTTCCAGTTTATTTCATTATTGATTCATTTCACTCAGCTGTGATGAGTTCATTGAAGTAGTAGGCAGAATCAAAGTCAGCAATGTGGCTCCCTGAATTCCCAATTTCACAAGAACTGTCCTGGTTTAGCTAATTGACTAGTGTCAGTACAGGCATACAGTTTAAGCAGTATTTCAGAAAACCAAACCATCCTAAATGAAAAATAAACTTTGGCTTCAGAGCACTGAATGCTTATAGAAAGATATGAAGCATAGCAGAAAACATGTATCATCTGTTAATGTACTATAGTGGAAAGCCAGTGGGTTTTTCCCCTGTTCTTAGGCTAGTTCAGAAATGCCATCACTCAGCTATTACACAGTTCTTAGTATGTGCAGTCTGCCACCTCCTCTGCTATGCTTTTGCATTCAGTTGTTTATAAAATGTATTTTTGTGTCACAAAATGCTACATGTGAATGAAATTTGCAATCAATATTCATAAAGAATGTTTCGAATCTAATCTTCCAACTAGGTTCTAGTGTGCAAACAAAATGCAATATTGAAAGACAGATCAGATTATGCTGTTTCATCAAAAGGTTTCTAGGAATGGTAGGGTGATCACTGTCTAAAGCACAGCTGAAGTCAAAACAGCAATTTAAAACTGAAAAATATCAAATTTTTAGATTTGATAAATCCTTCAGAAGGGATTTCTAGGGTACCATTTTTGCTAGCACAGGATAATGTAAGAAAAGAGTACATGAGAAGAACACATCTGGCACATGGAAAGATATACATCTTATTGAAAGTTTAGGAGGAAGTACAGATAGGGAAGAAATTTTTAATAAGTCAGTAATTCAGTGATATACAGTGCTTTATCAATCTGTATAACATTTTCTTATGTTCTGACTCAAAAACTGTGCAGACACAAACATCATTGTTTTTTCTGATGTTCATTTGCATTTAGATCTCCATGACATTTTTCCAACACTATTTTTCTAAGAGTAGCTTTGTATAGATACATACTCATAAACTAGGGCTCTGCTTTAAAAACTCATAAATATTGCTTATACAACTCTGTACAAGAAACTTTCTGATAGTGATAGAAGAACAGTTCTTCAAGTGCAGGATTCTGTGAGGTGGAGAGAATCTTCCCAGGGGAAGAATGATAAAAGAAGGGATATGGAGTTTCTGGCTCTTGAGATTTTACAGGCAATTTTTACAGTGAATTTCAGCCAAACTATTTCATTGCATTGATGAGCCTGTATATTGTATTTTTAGTCTAGGTGGGGTAGGATAAAAAGGTTATTGTCCTGAAAAAAAAAAAAGGTAATGGGATAAATAGTGCCATGGTGAAACTAATATTTTTTTTAACACAAAGTTATCGTGATATGAGTATCCTAGCTAAATTCCAGATTCAGATGATCTTTTTTTTTTTTGGATAGCTTGCAGTGTGACAAGTTGGAGAGCCCTGCAACAAGTGAACGTCTTCCAGTTGTATTTAGTAATGATTTACAAACACTCCACATACCACTTGAAACTGTTATTCTATCTTCCATGATAGCGAAGGCACTTCAAATAACTGAAATGCCTTTTATCATGCACTTGTATGCTTATGAAAAAGGAAATACTGATTTTAGGAGCTGCCTGTTTTGGAATGAATTGTCTTGACAGGATGGTATTGTTAGAGGAAGATTAAGCATTAAAATCATCTTGACCTCACATTTACAAGGACGTGAATGACGAACAATCAGGCTTAGAACTGTAGTGATTTAAATAAAACCTAATATATGAATTTGATAGTATCTCATATTATCAAATCAAAGAAATTAAAGATAGAAAAGGTCTATTTAACAATCCATTTCCTTTTCCTGACCATATGCTTCATCTGTTCTAATGTACAAAATTTCAACTGATAGAAGTGGTTTAATTCCTAGTAATTCTATTATCAGGAAGATTTTTTTTCTTTCGTACTTCTTCCTTGACCTCTCTTCTAGTCTAGATTGCTGCTAATGCTGTGCTATTTCTTTTCAGAAAATAATTTGAGATATATAGTGGATGAAAGAAGAAAGATAACAGGTGCAAATGTTGATACATGCAAAGCATAGAGAACAAATCTCTTCATGTGGTGATTAACACAGTTATGGACGGGGATCCTTTTTTCCCAGTGCTTACTCGAATTCTGTCCAGGTCCTGTTACAGACATCTCAATTAATTTTGGATGAGACTTGTGGTTTCAGTATCAATTTGTGGTCTGAGAAGACTGTTTCCATGAACTCTGGTAGAAATTCAGCTATTTTGGTGACTCAGAGAATGAAATTGACTTCTATCCGTGGAAAGAGATAGATGGAATTGGGGGAAAAGTGATGTGTCTTATTAAAATAGTGAAGCCTCCTGGCCACCCAGCAGGTATGCTTCAAGATGAAGCTTTAGTTAAAAATCTCTGTCATGAAAACAACATTTCAATACCCTATAGACTTCCTTGCAATAACCTCTACAGAACAGCTCAGCCTGGAACCATATTTGAATCTGTAGAACACTTTATTCCTTTTGAAAAAAATTAGATATTTTAATGGAATTTAGTTATACTGACACAAAGA